GGCCTTTCTTTCCAGTCGAGCGTTACTGTGCTGGAGGGCGGCAAAGTAGACGTGGAAGATGATGGAAAGAGATTCAAAGTCTCCGTACGGGAGTTACCTCAAGGAGATGGAGTTTACTGGTGTGGGTTCATGACTGAGGACAAGGTCATCGTTAAACTGGCCGAGGATTACTTTACCGAGAGTAAGATGAAATACGCATTTTCTGTTAGATGGTTTTCTCGGTGTAAAAGAGCACTACACTGTACAATTAAGTTCAATTAGACTTCAATTATTAAATTCCCAGCATCATCGACACATCCGTAGCAAGATTTTTTTAAACTATTGTGTGATCTGGAAAACATCCGCGGCGTTCAAAGGTTTGATTGACGACTTTAAAAGGTCTGAATTAAGATTTCAAATTTGAAACATATTAAATAGGCTACATGTTTTCAATGTCTATTTTACATCCGAAAACTTCTGAAAAACGTATGTCCTCGCTTTGAAGATAATCAATACAATATCATTTAGACGTCGGCAATGTACGCGTTCTATCAGGGAGTAATTCATGAAATTTACAGAAAAAATTAGATCGCGGTTTTGATTCACATATAACTTAAATTTACAGATGATACAAACGAATTTAGAGGTAGGCTATTTATAGAACAATTTTGTGTCAATTGTAAATGCCAGATAAATTACATTAATTTCTTTATAAAATATACTGACAAACTATTTAAAACAGGTGGCAAAGAGAAAAATTCTTAAAGATCGAAAAAAAGTTGCGTTAAAAAGTGACGCTAAAATAATGTAACAAACACAAGCATAACATGTATTCTACAACCTACATAATATAGATAGGAATAAACAAAATAAACTGTTAAAAATAAAACAGACTTATTTCAATTAAAAAGAAAAAAAATATTTTTAATATAAAATGTTTGTTTACTTGATGATTTCAATTCAGAAGTCTGTATTTAACAGTTTCTGTAAAAAAAAAAAACCTGTACAATTGCATGAAATTATTAGCCCTGAATTTTTCTTTTTTTAAAAAAAATATTTCCCAACTGATGTTCAACAGAGCAAGGACATTTGTAACAGTATGTCTGATCATATTTTTTCTTCTGAAGAAAGTTTGATTTGTTTTATTTCGGCAAGATTAAAAGCATTTTTAACTTTTAAAAACCGTTTTAGGGATTAATTTATTAGCCCCTTTAAGCTATAACTTTTTATCTATAGTCTACAGAACAAACCATTGTTAAACAATAACTTGACTAATTAACCTAGTTAAGCCTTTATGTCACTTTAAGCTGTATAGAAGTGTCTTTAAAAATATCTAGTGAAATATAATGTACTGTCATCATGACAGATAAAATAAATCAGTTAATAGAAATGAGTTACTAAAACTATTATGTTTAGAACTGTGTTGAAAAAAATCTCTCCGTTAAACAAAAATTGGGGAAAAAATAAACAGGGGGGCTAACAATAACCTTAACTGTATGTTACCGTTTATTTGATCGAATATACATTAAGACAATTACTCTTTCACAGTGTTGTTAAAAGAAAATTAATTCATTATTAATTATTTTGATAATTTTTAATGTCTAGAACATACAGCCTGTTAATCTTTATTCATGTCCGTTACAGCTCCATTTAACTTCATTTGGTCCATTCTGCGTTGGATTTTATTTCTTTTGCTTTTGTTGTTGACCATCTCAATTCACATTTATTCAAACAGTGAGTGCTCACACAAACCATCTCAATTCATCATTATGCTGAAAAATACTTTGAGCTTTGGACGTGTCTTTAACCTCTGTAAATGTTTCTTTTTGTTTGCTTACATGTCATTCTGTCTCGCTGACAACAGGGAAAGCTGTCATAAAGGTAAGAGCGACTCGTTTTCATTATGTTGATCTTGCTTAGCTGGACACAGTAATACTGTATTTTAACTAAATGTATTGATTTATTTTGAAGACGACATAAATTATGTCTAATGCCAAACGAGGTGAAAGAGCAGTTGAAGAACAAAGAAAACACAGCTGAACAAGCCATCGGATGCAAATGTAGCCTAGAGTTTATGTTTTTCCTTCTAAATAATAGTAGAGCTTCTATAGAAAGTTTGATTTAAAAAGCATTTAATAATTGTGTATTTGAAAATTAACATGTGCAATGTGATTTTATTTATAGATACAGAAATAAAAGCTTGTTGTTTTTTTGGATTTAGTATAAGAAACTTTAATTGTTCTTGAAAATAGAAATTTGGGTCAACTGTGGTCAAATTAAACTGTTGGGATACATTTGTTAATTTTTTTAAATTTACAGTTTAAATCTGGGGTTAGGTTTGTCAATATTTGACCCAAATTTGGGTTGAAACAACCCAGTAATAATAAGAGTGTGCTTTTATCATGTACAATATTTTTAATAATGGATGTTTTCTTCATTAAAATATGCTTGAACCTGCAATTTGCAAAATAAAGTTCCTTGATGTAAATAATAAACAAGTCATCTTTGCTACACTCAAAAAGTGCGTTTGTTGCTTGTTCAAACTATTTATTTAAAATGCGCTAAAACAACAATTCTTGAGACTTTTAGGGGAGACTAATGTTTACTTAATACATTTGTGTTGGGAAAACATGAAGGAATTGTGTGGAACTCAGCATTTTTACGGTGTATTGACCTTATTCTTTGCGTACGAGCGGGTGCAGCCATTTGAATCTTTTTGTCTCAAGACTTCTGGTCTCATTCACTTCCATTCATTTTTAGGGTTTAAAACTTGTTGCACTGCTTAATGTCGCAAACTAATATTTTCTTCTTATATTATTATTCTTTTTATGTATAGTCATGAACACATTTGTTTCGACTGTTTTCTGACGTTTATTATTCCTAGTCATTTCTCTCAAAGACAACTGAAATGAAATTTCTAAAACAATCGCGAAAATGAGCTCGCTTTAGAATTTTAGAATAAGGTCAATATAATACAGTGCATCCAGGAAGTATTCAAAGTGCTTCACTTTTTCCACATTTTTTTTATTTATGTTACAGTCTTGTTCCAAAATGGACTAAATTAATTTATTTCCTTAAAAATTCTACACACAATACCCCATAATGACAATGTGAAAAAATACTTAAAAAAACTCAGTATTCACATGAAAAATCAGTATTCACAGCCTTAGCTCAATACTTTGTTGATGCCCCTTTGGCAGCAATTACAAGTCTTTTTGAATTTGATGCCATAAGCTTTGTACACCTCTTTGGGAATCTTTGCCCATTCCTCTTTGCAGTACCTCTCAAGCTCTATCAGGTAGGGTGGAAAGCGGCAGCGTACAGCCTTTTTTAGATCTCTGTTCAAATAGGATTTAGGTGTTGGCTTTGGCTGGGCCACTCAAGGACATTCACCGAGTTGTTGTTAAGCTACTCCATTAACGTTTTGGCGGTGTGCATTGGGTCATTGTCCTGCTGGAAGATGAACCGTCGCCCCAGTCTGAAGCCAAGAGCACTCTGAAGCAGGTTTTCATTCAGGGTGTCTCTGTACATTGCTGCATTCATCTTTCCCTCTATCCTGGTTAGTCTTCCAGTTTCTGCTGCTGAAAAACATTAGCATGATGCTGCCACCACCATGCTTCACTGTATGGATGGTATTGACCTGGTGATGAGGCGGTGCCTGGGTTTCTCCAAACGTGACGCCTGGCATTCACTCCAAAGAGTTCAATTTTAGTCCCATCAGACCAGATAATTTAGAGTCCTACAGATGCCTTTTGGCAAATTCCAGGTGGGGAGTGGCTTCGGTCTGGCCACTCTACCATTCAGGCCTGATTGATGAATTGCTGCACAGATGGTTATCCTTCTGTAAGGTTCTCCTTTGACCACAGAAGAACGCTGGAGCTCAGAGAGAGTGACCATTGGGTTATTGATCACCTCCCTGACTAAGGCCCTTCTCTCCCAATCACTCAGCTTAGATGGCCGGCCAGCTCTACTTCCTAGTTCTAGTTCTAGCTTCAAGTTCTTGGTTCCAAACATCTTCCACATTCAGATGATGGAGGCCTCTGTGCTCATTGGAACTTTCAGAGCAACAGAAATTTTCTGCAACCTTCCCCAGCCTTGTGTCTCGAGACAATCCTGTCTCGGAGGTCTACAGACAATTCCCTTGTCTTCATGCTTGGTTTGTGCTTTGTCATGCACTGTCAACCCTGGGACCTTATATAGACAGGTGTATGCCTTTTCAAATCATGTCCAATCAACTTCACCGCAGGTGAACTCCAATTAAGCTGCTGAAACATCTCAAGAATGATCAGTGAAAACAGAATGGACCTGAGCTCAATTTAGAGCTTCAGGGGAAAGGCTGTGAATACTGATGTACATGTGATTTTACAGGTTTTATATTTTTAATACATTTTTTTCACATTGTCATTAAGGGGTGTTGTGTGTAGAATTTTGAGTAAATAAATTAACTTAATCCATTTTGAAATAAGGCTGTAACATAAACAAATGTGGAAAAAGTCAAAGCGCAATGAATACTTTCTGGATGCATTGTACAACAAATGAGCACACAATTTTAAATGTAGGAACGCACATATCTGTATCAAAGCCAAAGTGTGTTTGCAAACTGACCCAAGTTGCCATCCCTGCTGATAAAAACAGCTTAAACCAGCCTAGGCTGGTTGGCTGGATTTAGTTGGTCAACTAGCCTAGTTTTAGAGGGGTTTGGGCCATTTTCAGGCTGGTGGTTCTAGCTGGTCAGCATGGGAGATGACCAGCTAAAACCAGCTAGACCTGCCTAGCCAGTGTGGGAGCCTAGCCAAAACCAGCTATGTTCAGTTTAAACCAGGCTTGTCAAGCTGGTTTTAGCTGGTCAATTCTTAACCTGACCAGCTAAAACCAGGCTGGAAATGGCTAGAAACTCCTCTAAAACCAGGCTGGTCAAACCAGCCAACCAGCCTAGGCTGGTTTAAGCTTTTCTTTCAGCAGGGTTTGCCAACTACTTTCATTTGTATACATTAAAATAAAGTCAAAATAACCAAATACAGTTCAGCCACACTATAAAAAAAGTGCAAAAAACAACATGGCAAAAATATTCTAGTATTCTGTATTGAATTCAGTTTTCAAGCAACAGCAGTTTCAACAGTGATTTCTTTGAAAATGAAGCAAAATGTTTTTTAAAATAAGTTACATCAGAGACCTTTCTTGCAATTTACCAGCATGAAGCGGTCATGTAGACAAACACAATGGAGTGCAAAAATTCAAAATGGTATAATTACAAAACAAAACAGGTCAAATGCAATTTTTGCATAATTACACAGTAGATAGATATTCTAGTTTTCTCCACTCTTTTCACAAGTGTTGCATTTTCATCATATACCGTAGTTTCCTTTAAGGCATTTCCCGATTTATAAAATGGGAAACTATTTATGTTTAATCATAACTCCTCTGCTATTAAGGAAAAAAAGAACTTTCCTAAAATATTTTTCTTGACATATTTTTTTATATTTTTGCTTGAATTACAGCATATTCATTTCCTACACTAAACGCACAGCAAAAACTACACAAAGCTAAGCTCTCGGAACATCTATAGAGCATAAATACCAATTCATCCACATACACAAGGCAACTAGTAAAACCATAAAATCATCGAGAAACATTGTGTTCGGGTGGTAGTGGTTCATAAATGCAATGATAATCCAAAAATAATAACATTGCAACATATAAAAAGCGAGCATGTAAACATTCTGAAAACACAAATGTTTTGAGAGAAAATGGTCCGTTTCGATCTGATAAACAAAGTACAATGGTCAAATTACACATGCAGGCTGTAGGAGTTTCGCATGGCTTTTCCATTTATTGCAGTTTGACAGTGTGAACTACAGCAGCATTCCCGATTTGCCTGGGAAGGAAAGTGTTTGTGGCAAATGGAAAACCAGTATGAAAGCATTTCTTGACCTGTCAATCGGATCGTATAGTCGTATGCTGGGCTGCTAAAGAAAGCATTTTTTTTTCTCTTTTAAAAAAAGCTTCTTTTTTTTTCAAACTCGTGGTACCAATGCGTGAATTTGTTCAGAAAAGAGGAGTGTTACAGTTCCTCATAATCACCCTCTTCTCTTTTTGCTGAAGCTTCTTCCTCTCCGCCCAGAAAAGCTTCAAGATCGTCTGTTTTCTTGCTTCGTGACTTTCTCTTCCTCTTCTCCTTTTCATCCAAGGCCCCACCTGTCTCATCCCTTTCTTTTTTCTTGTGCTTGTGTTTCTTCTTGCTGCTTTTGTCATCATCCTGAGATTAAATACAAAGTAGCAATATAACACAAGCATTTTTATAATAGTTTTTACATTAATCATTTCTTTTTCTACATTACTACACTAATAGTTTATACATTAATCATTTCTTTTTCTACATTACTGCACTAATAGTTTATACATTAATTATCTTCTTTTTGTCAATTAATCTTCACCCACTACTAATATATATATTCACACACACATACTATACTATACTATACTATACTATACTATACTATACTATACTATAATATAATATAATGTGTGTGTTTGAATATAAATTAGAGCTGTGGGTGAAGATTAATCATGATTAATTGCCTCAAAAATCTAAATAAAAGTTTGTGGGACATTAGACATGTATGAATTACATATATTTAATACACACATACATAAAACGTAAATGATGTATATGTACCACAAATGCATACATAAAAACGAACACATACAAATGTTTTTTCGATATAATTTCATCATAGACATATTTTTTATATCTAAATATAAATAAACATTTTCTCAAATATATGCATGCATGTGTGCATTTATATAAACATAATAAATATTCACAGTACACAAATATACATTATGTCAAAACAAACTTTTATTTTGGATGTGATTAATCACGATTAATCTTTTTCCAGCACTAATTGAGATAATATATACTGTATATATCATATAGTGCTGGAAAAAAAGATTTATAAGTATCAATTATAAATACCATTTTCACTATTTATATAATTAAGGAAAGAAAGAGAGATAGATGAAAAGAAAAAGATAGATAGATAGATAGATAGATAGATAGATAGATAGATAGATAGATAGATAGATTAAAGTTTTTTTTACCTCTTTACTCTTCTTTTTCTTTTTCTTCTTTTCCTTTGAATGCTTGTTTTCTTTTTCATTGAACAAAAAAAAAATATATATATTCAGATCCAAATATATTAACATCCAAATATGCACAGCTATTAGTGTATTGTGTTTGCAAAACAGCTCCTTCAGAAATAATTCTAACATTAACAAGCTTAGTTAGTTCATAGTAAACGTTTTGACTGAAATGGACGATACACTTTTCATGATTCTTCCATTCACAAGAACAGCATTTTAAAAATTATTTTCTGTACTATTATAATCTTCTCAGTAGTGACTTTTGACCAGTTTCGTGTATACCTGCAGGGCAAAATTGATCATTTCTGTCAAAAATAAATTGTATGGTGGTGTATATATAGTGGTTGTGTGTATTTATATAGTAAATGACATAAACAG